TTTGACAGGCTCAGGGAGTTCGAGCAGCCTGCTGAGCAAGGAGCGAGACCTGCTCTTACCTAATTAGAAAGAACTTAATTGGCCCAAGTTGGCAAGCCTAAAATATCTTTTTTAGAAAAAGTGCTGGGCATGGTGGCGCATGCTGTAGTCCCCAGTTACTTGTGGAGCTGAGCGAGGTCATTGGTCCCAGGAGTTTGAGGTTTGCTTTGAGCTGGCTGGACGCCAAGTACTCATAGTAGCAGCAACGAGTGAGTTGCAGGGAAAAGGAGGAGAGGAGAAAGAAGAGAAGAAGATAGGAGAAGGAAGGAAGTTAGAAGAAGAAGGAGAAGAAAAAAGTGAGAAAGAAAGAAAGAAAGAAAGAAAGAAAGAAAGAAAGAAAGAAAGAAAGAAAGAAAGAAAGAAAGAAAAAGAATAACTTGGCTTTTAGATATGTTAAACCTGAGACACCTCTCATACATCTGAGTGGAACAAATGAACCTGGAGCTTGGAAATGAAGTCTGGACAGAGGCATTTGGATTTGGGAGTCATCAGAATACATGGTACCTGGACAAAGGCACCATCTCAGGGGGAAAAAATGTTGAGAGCGAAGAGGGCCCAGGAATGAGCCCTGGGACACGCTAACATTTCGACATGACTTCAGGAAGCGGAGTCAGCTAAGGAGACTTGAGAGCAGCCGCCAGAGAGGCAGCCAGGAAAGGGAAATGTTCCAGAAGCCAAGCCAAATGAAGGAGTGGCCGACTGCACTGAACGCTGTTGAGAGATGGGGTAAGATGAAGGCTGGGAAGTGACCGGTGAATTTGAGCACTGGTGAGCTTGACAAGGGTGAAGCCGGGGAGCAGTGAGGGTGGGGAAGAAGAGGGGAAGTGGAAATAGTGTGAAGAATGCTAGAAAAACAGAAAAATGAAAGAAAAAAGAGAAATGATGAGGCCATTGCTGCGGGGAAAATGAGGTCAAGGCTGGGCTGCCAGGGTATGTGACTCCAGGGGACACCCATGACATTGTATCCATGTAAATGGTGTCCTAGGGAGTGGGACAGATTATGAGAGCCATGCAGTAGCAGGTTGACGGTGCCGGAGGGACAGGTGGCGACTACAGGAGCAAAGCCCCTGAGCGTGTTTGAGCAGAGCCAGGAGACACGGCTTCTTGTGCGTGGTTGGAGAGAGGATCGGATCTGGCCCATTTTACAGGTGAAAAGCTGAGGGCCAGGGAAAGCTGTAGGATCGGGGAGGGCAAGCAATAGGGTGGTCTTACCATCAAAAAGCTGAGCATACTGAGGAAATCCCGTCGCTCGGAGCCACGCACATGCTTTCTTGGCCTCAGCTTCTAAAACAAAACAGAGGGAGAGAAACAGGGTGAGGAGGGTGCTGGCACCAAGTCCCCTGGTCACAGTGCGTCACCTCCAGCAGGCGATCCAGACACGGCAAAGAGCACAGAGGGGCCGGCACGGTGGCTCCCAGTCACAGCCAGCTGGGAGGCTCTCTGCTCCCATGGTGACTCTCTGGACGTCCTGGCCAAGGCTGTCTTGAGCCTTGTTCTCCGCCTGTGCCGATCCCCTCCCACTCTCCTGCCCACTGCCCGAGCACAGAACCCACCCCTGCCAGCAGCTCCCCGGTTCACGTGGGGTCAAGGTCAAGGGGGCCTGCTGGGATCAGAAGCCACAGCTGTGTCCTCCACCCAGGCCTTCCTCAGGGAGCCATCGTCTTCCAAGGCCCTGGGTAGACCACCTAGTCCAGGCGGGAGACTGGAAACGTTCAAGGATAATCATCATTCTCTTTCTCATCATCACACCTAACATTCTCGAGCACTTTGATAGCCAAATCTCATTTGCACGCACAATAATCCATGAAGCTGGCTTCTCTATCCGCATTTTACAGACACGCAAACGGGCTCAGCCTGCAGTGTCGCAGCGCCAGCTGAGCCCAATTCTAGTGCAGGGTCCCCACCTTCCGACAGCAGCTCCCCAGGGCTCCTTCCCGCCTCCCTCGCCAGGGGGCCTCCCCAGCGCTGGCGCAGCTCCGCTCGGGCTCGGCGGCTCACCTTTTTGTGACAAGGTGTTGTGCTGACACAGTGCTGGCCCGGGAGGGTCTTGGAGGGCCATGGCTGGGCCAGCCTGTCACCTCTGCTGTGGGCGTTCTGGCACAGAGCAGGACACCCCCGCCAGCCTCGGTGCAGACGTGCGGCTGCGCTAAAGCCCCAGAGGTGGCCCCCCTGGTCGGGGTGGGCTGAATGCCAGCAGCGAAGCCCTGGGACCGCACAGGCAGCTATTTGCTTCCCACCCCGGTGGTGCCAAGGACCAGTGGCGCTGGGACCACAGGACCTGGCATCACAAGGTTGGCAGGGGAAGGCGGCTCTGGTCATGGAGTCCTGCCCCCAACACGTCTATTTCCTTAGCACCTGTGGCCGGAGTCTCTCCTGGCCCTGATGCCCAGAGGACTCCAAGGAGACTGGTGGGGTTTTTCCAAGACAGGAAGAGCTCTCTCTCCCCAGCGCTTGCCCACAAGGAAATCCAGGATGAGATTCTGGCAGCTGGGACTGATAAGATAAAGGACAAAATAGTATTCTAGAGATGCTAGGAAAGTAGAGAAGGGAGGGGACGGGGAGGAGGTAGAAGTCGATCAGAAAAGAATAATAGGCTCTGCAAGGGTCACACACTGATGAGGATTTGAGGGAAGAAGGGAAGGCTCCGCAGCCCCTGAAGGCTGTCAGGGCAAACGGGGGCCGGGCAGGGATGAACAGCTGTGCATGTCCGTGAGTGTGTGCGCTGGGTCGGTGCCCACCCAGCATGTCTACACGGAGGGAGTGTGGCCACATCTGCTTGTGTGCACGACGCATGAGGGTCAGTGTGGGGTCATGCACCTGTCCATACCCACAGGCACCAGCTCGCGCACGCACCTGTGTCTGTGTGTGTATGTGTTTATGCTACTGCAATTCCTAACCTAGGATAGACCTAGGAACCGCCAGGTCCTCTGGGGGTCCTAGAAAGTGCAGACCAAGCCCTGCTAGCAGTACCTCTGCTCTCTGGCAGGGGGCAATGCAGGCCTGGGAAGGGTGGAGCTCTCTAGGTCCATGGTGGCCTGGGTGCTGTGGTGAGACCAGCCCAGGTAGCATCTGAGGAACATGGCTTTGCTGCTAGGACAGTTGCCACAACATTTCCCTGTCCCCTGTTCCTGCCATAGCTCCAGGAGAAGACCCTTCCCCACCTTAGTGCATCCGTCTCATTAGGACAAAAAGGGGTGCCAAAGGATGGACCAGGTCAGAATTTCCAGAGAGGTGGACAAAGGAGAAGACAGCCACAAGGGTCACAAGTATGGGCACTCCAGGCAGGGGAAGAAACCCCGAGGGATAGGCCTGCATGCCAGGAACACACCCTTGAATTCCCCTGTAGCCCTCAGTCACTCACGGTGAGAGGAGGAGAGGGAAGAAGACAGGCACCTCTCTCCCTTACTCCTGGCCTCCTTCCTCAGCCTGAAGGAGGCAGAAATAAAGTCCTGAAGCTTCCACATCTGCACCATCTGCCAAAGCCACAGAGCCCATGAGAGTGAGGAGCTGCCTGCCCCCCTGATGCCAGGCAGTGGCCTAGCCCGGGGTTGGCAGGGAGGGGACCAGGTCACTGAACATGGTGCCAAGTTCTTTCATTCCTCCCCAGAGCCCTCTAGCCCCTTGCTACCTGAGCGTAGTCCCACACCAGCGGCATGGCATCAACATCACCTACTGTGTTTCCCTGAAAATAAGGTCTACCCATAAAATAAGGCCTAGCAGGATTTCTAAGCATTTGCACAATACAAGCCCTATCGCGAAAATAAGCCCTAGTGACGGGCGTGGCTACGCAGCGCATCTGCACAACCCTTGCATTTCGTCGTGGAGCAGGAAAGAACACGAGCAGCCCTTCTCATCATGGTGACAGCTACTGTCCCAGAGGTGACCGGAAAGGTGCGGGCAGCCCAACAAGGCCGGCTCCCCCTGTCGGGTCCCAGACATGCTGTGCGTGCTGCAAGCTGAGGCTTTGAGGGACAAATAACACACCCCCTGAAAACAAGCCCTAGGATGTCTCCTTGAGCAAAAATAAATATAAGACCCTGTCTTATTTTCGGGGAAACACGGTAGTTATGAAATGCGGAATCCCAAGCCAAGCCCAGAGCCACTGAATCAGAATCTACATTTAACCAGATCCTTAAGCAATCTGCACACACGTTAAAGTTTGAGACGTGCTAGTCTAATCACATAGCTCAGCAGTTCCCATCCCTAGAATCAGTTAGGAAGCTATTTTAAAATACATGTGCCCAGGGCCCCATCCACAGAAGGCTGACTTAATTGGTCTGTGATGAGACTCCCCACATCAGCATATTTTTAAAGCTGTAGCATGGGCACACAGAGGCCCAAGGGACTTTTCCAAAGTCATACCCAGTCAAGTGTCACAGCTGAACACTACAAACCTGACCTTGGAACTCCACGTCCAGTGCTTGTTTCTACTGCATTATGCCATCTGCTCTCAGATACCACACAAGCAAGGGGCTTAGACTCAAAGGAAGCAAGTCTAGGCCCCCAAACTTCTTTTCTGCTCCTTCTGGTCTAGTGGAGTCACATGCCTGGGTTCAAATCCTGATGCTGTCAAGTCACTAGCTCTTTGACTTTGGGCCAGTTGTACAACCTCTCTCTACATGTGAGTTTTCTGCTCTGTAAAACAGAGAGGGAGGGCATAGCATGTGCTCCTTAGAGCTGCTGAGAGCTTCAAATAAGATCCTGGAGAAAACAAAAGCCCCTGGCACCTAGTACCAAGCACTCAACAAATGTGTTCCTTCCCAGTTTGACTCTGAAGGGTCCCAAAGAAAAAGAGAAAACTGTAGAAAGAGGCGCAGCTAGCTTCTGGGGCTGGATGACGGCTGCGCCCAGACTGCTGCCAGAATTGGAGCCAAATGGCTCAGGGAAGTGAGATTAGGAGGCAGAAGTTTCAAAGAGGCTGCAATTGCTCCAAAAGACAAAGGAGCAAAGGAGTTCGGAGTAGGGCTCCACACTGAATTCCCCAGCAGGAATCCAGAGAATGTAGTGGGTTATTACCAAACAGGATGTCAGGGACACTGGCTCCGACAATACACCATCTCATTGAGGGCTGGGAGGCCCTGAGGCTTTCTCCCAGATGGAGCAGCCAGGGACATATGTCTTCGTGATTAAGGGCTGAACTGAGGTGCTTTGCCTTCATCCCTCCCACCCGTCCCAGCCTGCCCAGGCTGGGGCCAGGAGTGACCCCACCCCCAACCCCAGTAGAGTCAATTCACCTGGGGCTGGAGCCCAGGCGGCCCAGACTGAGGGTTGACTTATGTGCCTGGCGGGAAGAGTGACACTGAGCAGGCTGAGGTGAGTGGGGTAGGAATGTCTGTGGCCCCCGGCCCTACCTCTGTGTCCAGATGTGCAGATTCCAGGGTGCGGCTGCCAGCAGATTTAACTGCTATATTCTGCAGGCCATGCGTGCTCCGGCCAAAGCTAAGGTGATGTACCAGGACAGGTCAGTCACAGCACTCAGCTGGCACAAACTAGATTCCACTGAGATTCACACCCTCTCCCCGGGGAGGGGCCCAGCTAATCTGAGCCACAAGAGGCAGGGGACGGGGCAAACTAGAAAGTTCCAGAGTCAAATCAGGCCTCACAGCCATGCCCATGTCTCCCAGAGGAAGCGTCAAAGAAGGAACGGCCGAGCAGTAGCACATGGTTTCAGAGGTCAGTGGCAATGTCTGCAGCTACATTTCTACAGGCCACCTACTAGAGATCCGCATGGCGTGGAGCATTTTTTCTACACCAACAAGGATGGATAAACAAGGGGAAACGCAGGGTTTCTGTTCTTGAGAAATGCTCTATGAGTGAGGGTAGAGTTTATGCACCCAGGAAAAAGGCAGCAACCTTTTCCCCGGAGGAAATGCAATAATGCTCAAAGATGATAACCAAGCTGGAAAAAAAGCCTTTTCCAATGGACTCTGCCTCCCTGCTTGCTGCCTAAGTCATCTGCAGCAACTTGTTTCATTCCCCAAGCTTTGATTTCCAAACCTACAGTAGAAACTGACAACTTTCCTGCCTACCTCTGTGGTTACCATGTGGATTTGATCAGGCTTTTGCTGGTTTTGAAAGTGGCTGTATGAAACTTAACAAAAATAGCCTTCTCTAATGATAAGACTAGTTGAACTTTGTAGTCACAGTCTCTAAGGCACATCTCAGATTGTGTCCTAGTTGTAAAGAGAGGAGAAAAAAGAGAGCTAGGAGGAAGAGAGAAGGCAAGTGGTAACTAGATGGCAGGAGGTAAGGCCTCAGTCAGCCATTGTCACCAACCCTACTCT